ATTGATCAATGACAAGAATTAAAACCGGAACATTATCCAGAGCAATTATAGGAATAAAAACTGATTCCATTTGACCAAACTCCTCTATAAAGACAAAATCTCTAATTTTATTTTCTCCCACAAACTTAACATCTTCAAACAATACTACATTTCCTGTCTCAAAAAATTTCTTAGTAGCAGGATCATAAAATTTATACCCCTTCCCTTTGATCGTTCAAAATAGCCAACAAAATAACAACTCATTGTTATAGAGTCTAAATTCTTTTTACTTAACCTAAAAGGCCTTGCCTCAGCTTGACAACCAAATATGAAAATGCTTAAGACCAGGGCTTTGTCTAGTCTAAAGTTCATATGGAGTTTTGGCTGTTTTTTTAGTTGATACTTTGTTAAGAATATAAGCTACACTCTTGAGTGCTTCACCCCAAAGGAACTCAGGTAAGGTAGAATGTCATATCGTACTCCTCACCATATCCTTAAGTGTTTGGTTTCATCTCACAGCAACGCCATTCATGCTAAGTGACTGAGGCATGGCATATTGAGGGACTATCTTGCATTCCTCCAGTTATTTGGCAAATGGTCGGGGACGTTATTCACCTGAGCCATCATATCTACCATAATATTCACCACCACGATCAGATTTAACACCTTTAATTCTTTTGTTGAGTTGAAGCTCAACCTCAATCTTATATAATTTGAACAAGTCCAATGATTATGATTTTAATGTATGTGATACAAGTAGCCACATTGAGAGAAATCATCCATGAATAATATGAAATATTGTTGATCATTTCATGAAACCATAGAAAATGGTCCACAAATATTTGTATGTATCAATTCCAAGACATCTGAAACTCTATTGACATCTTATCCTCTTTTATTGGTTTATTTCCCTTTTATACATTCAACACAAACTTCAAAACCTGCCATAAGTTTTTCCAATTTTTTTCTTGAAATATGTCCTAATCGCTTATGAAATAACATAATATAATTATTATTAGCTAATTTTTGTTTTATGCCATGAGTATTACCATTCGATGACCTGGTTAGGAGAGTAGATGTTTTAGATTTGACTTATGTTAAGAAAGACATAGCTAGACCTAAAATGACTTGGGCATATTGTATAAAAAATGCTCTTATTTTTTCTATTATTAAATGAAAATACGTCACTCTATAGCATGCAATGGAAAAAAAATTCATATAATTGATCCCACTTAGTTGGATAAAGGCTTGTTTTTTTGTTCTTGTTGTTGCCAAAAATATTAACATGCAAGGCTTTACTATAAGCAATAACCGTTCGAGCAAGTATGTATTATTTTGTTGACATAAATAGCTAATACGACTAACATATAAATTTAAAGAAAGGCTGAACTAACTATTTCCAAATGAACAAGTGTATCCAAATTTGTCCAAAGCAGAAGTAGAATTAAATTTTATCTAAATGATAATACAACAAAAGTATCTTTCAAATCAAAATAATAACTAATACATAATAATATTCTAAAATGGCCTATAGCTTCAACTTCAAATGTTTTATCATTGCCTACTTAGATGAATCTTTCAACATCAATTAACTATCAGTAGCTCAGGCAACTCTGCATGGACACACTTATATGAGTAGTGACACTAACATCAATGCACAAAGTGTATTTTGACACTAAGGCTAAATTAGCTTTAGAACACTAAGGCTAAATTAGCTTTAGAACAAACCAAATTAAGAAGTGTACTTTTCTTTGCATGCCAAGCCTGATATTTGATATAAGCTTTCTTTACATGTATAGGCTTAATACAAAAGGGACAATCGGATTTTTTATTTCTTCCTTTTTTTGTTTTTTTTTTTTTTTTGTGCTGGACTTTTAGTAGTTTCATTGTTTTTATGTCTTTTGTTCTATCTTCAGAGGTGATAGCCAAATGAACATTTTCAATCTTTTCTTACTTTATTCTTTCTTCCTTTTGCACACAATAAGAAATGAGCTCATTGAGAGTCCATTTATTATTTTGGCAGTTGTAACTGCTCTTGAATTGACTGAGTTGTACTGGAAGAGAAATTATATATAGATGCACTAAAGATCCTCAGACTGTAGTGTCTTTAGTTTTGAAGCAAGATGGGATATCTTCATGATATACTCCTTTATGTTTCATTTACTTTGGCATTTCATTGAAATTAAGCTCGTTAAAAATATGCTTGTTTCAGCCTTGTCATTCTTGACAAAGCATTTCTCAATAGCTTCAAGGAAATCTTTGGTTGTATCAAATTCATCAGGCACAATGCCCCTTAATACTTCTGGAATGCCTCACTCGGTGACCATGAGACTCATGCAATTCAAATGATCTCATTTCTCATGTCCTTTTTATCCTCAGTGAAGCTTTGATCGATAGTAGTGGGATGTTCAAACTTTAATGCAAGATCTAGATCAAACAACTGACAACAATTAATACATATTTTTTTCTAATCCTTAAATTTAGTTCCGTTCAACATAGAAATGAAATTAACATTTGCAGGTATTGAGGTGTTAGATGCAGTATCTATACATAGAATAAAATCACAAAGAAAAAAAATTTGGGTTCTTACTAAAAAATCATATGGAAATCCAAGAAAACTAAACTTAAAATAAATAAATAAATAAAAAGCTTGATTCTCAATGGTTTAACATATAGTCGGCTCTGATACTGTCACAACTCGACTCGTTGAGCTTGGAATTACCAAGGTGGGAAATGACGATTGGACGGAGGAAACATATCTAACAGTTTCATTTCGTCACAAAAGTAAAAATTTAAGCACAAAAGAGATATTATTGTTCATAAAATTTATATTTACAATAGATTGTTAGTATTTAAACGTTTACATTCAAACAGAAAATAAACTAAACCACAAATCTATCAGCTTGCGCTCCACGACACATCTACACGTACTCCTTAGAGTCCATCTAATCCACAACTGGCTTGTCAGTAAAATGTTAGCAACTGAATTAAAACTATTTAGCAAGTAAATGTTTCTAAATTACAATAGTTCTTATTTTAAAATATTTTTGTAACGGAGCAGGAAAAATAAAATACTATACAATAAGGAAAACAATTTCATCCCTTTCATTTTTTTAGGTTACAATTTTCATAATTGTGAGTCATCGTCTAAGCGTATAATTTATAAAAAAAATTACGTTTGACCTTTTTCAACCCACCAAAAAGATATGCAATATTTCATTTCCATTTCCATTTCGTGCATGAGTACAATGCATTCCTCTACTAATACCATATAGGGATGACTCTTATATGCATTCATATATCATATTTTATTCATTCTTATTTTTCATTTATCATAGAAAACCTTTTTTCATTTCCATTTAAATGATAAATGCAAGGTAAAAATGAATAAAATATAATATATGCATGGATATGAGAGTCGCCCTTGGATGATACTAGTAGGGGAATACATTGTAGTTGTGCACGAAATGAAAATGGAAAAAAGTTGCCTACCTTATGATGGGTTGGAAAATTTTAAAAGTGTATTTTTAAAAAGTATATGTTTAGATGATGACTCTCAATTATGAAAAATGTAACCTAAATAAAAAAAATGAAGTGAAATTGTTTTCTTACTGCACAGTCTTTTTATTTTTCCTGCTCTTATATAAAAATATTTTAAAATGAGAATTATTATAATTTAGAAATATTGACACACTGGGTAGTTTTAACTCAAACCATAGTTGTTAACATTTTTACAGAAAAATCAGGTGTAGATTAGATGGACCACAGATAGTACTTGTACATACGTCGTGGAGCACAAACTGCTAGGTTTGTGGTTTAGTTTATTTTTTGCTTGACCATAAACATTTAAATATGAATAATCTATTATAAATATAAGTTTTATGAACTAGAATGACTCTTTTATGCATTAGATTTTTACTTTTGTGATGAAATAAAACTGTTAGATAGGTTATCTTTGTCCGACTGTCAGTTCCCGTCTTAGTAATTTTGAGTTCATCGGCTCTGGTCGTGACAGATACCATTTGTTGTTAATTTGGCAGAATCATAAATCAAAAATTTGATTCATGAAACAACAAATTTTCCTTGTCAAATCATTAAGAGAAACATAATTAAAGTGCAAAAGCATACTATAATTCATAATTTCTTATTGTTATGAGTTGTCTTCCATATTGATGCGTGTTCCTAAATTTTTTTGATCGATGAGGTTCCAGGCAAGAGGAAGTCTTTCTTGCTCTTGGGAGGAGTGAAGAGACACTTACATGAAATGGATTAGGGGTTTCAATTAGGGTCAACGAGTAGGATTCGGTTCCGACCCGAAAATGACCCGACCCGAATAAGGTTATTCCGAATCTGACCTGAATAATAAACAGATTAAAAACTAAGACCCAAACCCAAGTTTGACCCGCTACCTCAAACCTGACCTGAAATTTCGTGCTTATTTGGGTCATGTTTGGATTTTCGGGTTCAACCCGAATCCGATCCGAATAATAAACGGGTTGACTTTTTTGACCCGAACCAGAGTCAAAAACTCTTCGAATCAACCATAACCCATATTTTTTTTAGTCGAGTTTGAGTCGTGTTGGCATGTCGGGTCAATTTTTGTCAACCTAGAATGGAGAGTGTCCCTTTAAGATAACTGCTCCTGGGTAGGTATTTTCTATATATATTTGTGCTTCCAATTTAGCCCATTATATAAGTTGAAAATACAAATAGTTCTCTACACATATTTTGGACTATTTTTTAAAAATTTAGTCCCATAAGCCTATTCTTTGTTAGATCACATTAATTAGGTTTAACTTTAAGGTAGCATGAATAATACATTTATTTATATATGTTGGCCAATATAAAATAATTTTTTAATTTACTTTCCAACACATTTCACTATAATAATGTTTGTAAGGCTTATTTGTGATGACGTGCATTATTCTATTAGCTTTTACTGTAGCGTTTTATGATTTTTATTTTTTTATTCTTTTTTTTATATTTTATAACTTCTTATTCTGTAAAGATGTGATTATTAGTTGGTGATTTACATGGAGATTTGGCACAAACAAGATCTGCACTGGAAATGGCTGGGGTTTTATGCTCAGATGGTTCAGATACATGGATTGGTGGAGAAACGGTATGCATTTATTTTTATATTTTCTTGCCTTCTTATGTGTCGGGACATAGAAGCATTCCTAAGAAGAATTCTATCAGCATCTTAAGCAAATGGCTGATATAAATTATGATTTTGGACTATATGTTTTATTGCTTTTTTATTTTTTTGATTTTTGTACGAGCAGATAATTTAAAAATCAAGTTGGCTGTTTGGAAATAATGCCATGTTCATTAATGCAGAAGTTTTAAATGAAAACAGGATACTAGAGTGGTGATTGCGTAACTACGTTCTTCTCTCTAGTTGGTGGTGCCAAAATGTCAGGGAAAAAAAAGATATAACTAACCTTCTAACAGCCAAGGATCATAATCACAAATTGTCATAGCTATATGAAAAATTTTTAAATATTACCATCGAGATTCAATTATTATAGAAGCTTATTGGAACTAGAGTAATTTTCATTTTGTCCATTTTGATGATAAAACATGTGCAAATTCACTACTGTGACTACAAATGCTTATCAGTTAAGTGTGATGATCACTTTTTATTTTTTTTGTGTTTTTTTTTGTACTATTTTGGGTATCATAAAAAAAAAAGAGTGCTAATGTTGTAAATTAAAGATATTTGGTATGTATTACCTATCTTTGATGTTTATTAAAAGCTTTGTAGTCTATTTTGATGATTTAGATTATGAATTATTTGGTATTAATGATTATGATGGATTTATCAAATGATTATAAAAAGAAAAAAGTGTATGTTCTATGACAAACTAGGCGCATATATTTTTTCTACCTGCTCAATCTTGTTTTCTAAGAGACAATGAGTGTTTGAGAGAAATGTCTGGTTTGATTGCCCACCTCAGCCACATCTCACGTTTGATCAAGAAGGATCAATTTAAGGCTCGGTACTTATAATAAATTTTGAGGTATCATACTAATTACTTTGGAAGAGCAATGCGAAGTTATTTTTTCTTTCAAGTGGGAGCTTTTAACTGACACATGAGCATTGGAGAATAAGCAAAAATTTAGAACAAAGTAATAACGTAACAATAGGACAAAGTTTGGCATGCTTATCATTGATGGATTGAGTATTGCAATATTTCAATAAACCTGATTGACGAAAGGTTTCACACAGCGGCATTTTCAAACATATTCATTAAGTTGTATATTTGAAGTTTGAACTCTAAGTGAGATTATTATGTGTGGAGTCAAAATTTTATTAATTATCTTGAATAAGTTTTGGTCATTATTTTTCAACATTGATGGTTCCCAACTCATGATTCATTCACGCTTAATTTTTAAATTTGATTGCTTACCTAACTCAAGAATAATTCATGTTTAAGAATTATATCCAGAGATTGTTACATTATATTGATGAACCACAACACAACAAGCAACTAAGGGAGTAGAGAGAGAAAGAGAGTGGCGTTTCATTCAAGAAAGAAAAAAATGTTTTTCCTGTTTAATTGCATAGGGAGTTTTTTGGATTTTTCAAGAATAAAGAGGAATTATTGGTATTTTTGTTTCTAGCAAGAGAAGATGCCCTTGGTCATAATAATAAATAGTTTTCATTTGGCTCCTACACTAGAGAGAGAAAGAGAGAAATTAAAGTAACAACATCTTCCTTCTTCATATCTAATCCTTATCTTAATGCTGCATTCTCTTTTAATTAGACAATGTTGTATCTTTGTTTAAATCTTCCATTTTTTATGAAGTGATTCTTCATGTTCCTCTTTGAAAGCTTTAATGGGTTGTTTGATCTCTATGCCCATGGATATATGCTTACTCAGGCTGAAACAGGGACATTTTGGTCTTCTCTCTTGCAGTGCTTGATATCTTCTGCAATTATATGTGGTTTATCAAATTTGTCTTTTGGTTGAGGGCACTATCTTTCGTAACACTCCCTCCACCATGAAAGGTCAGCCAATCCCTTCCACTCCTTTGAACTTTCATGTAGAAATCCAAGAGTTACTCTGCGTAGTCTATATATAGTGAGTCTTTTGTCATGTATTCACCTGACCTTAAAATGAAATAAATTTGAGCACGTTCCTCTTTATTCTTTTCTGCTTCTCAGAGAGGACTTCTTTAGTGATGGCGTGCAATCCTTGGAGAGCACAATCCTCTTTGATCTTTCTACATTTCCTCTACAATTCTTTTATCTATCTCACCTCTGTGGTAGCATAATAAATGAATGCAATAATTTGAAGCACAACTAGTGAACTATAAAGTATGGACAATTCTGAAAAGCACTAGGGAGTGCTTGGAATACAGATATGATTGTGTTTAAAAAATAATGGATACTTCATGAGAACTACTTGGGATCATTTTAGATGGATTTGGAAAGTGTTCATTCCTCTCTTAACCATGTTAGATCCAAATAATCTAATTATTGAATTTTTATTTTCATAAAAACCATCCTTCCAAACTTTCGTTGTGAACTTTCTGTGCAGTTTCCATCAAATGACACAGCGAGAGGCTATTTGGGATTATAATCGGAGATTCATGGACTGTATTGGATACATTAGATAGGCTGAGACTAAAATGACCACAATAAATAGTCCATGGTCCTTCTTGACCTTTTTATTCTCTCATTTTCTCTCTTGCACACAATTTTTTTCTTCTCCCAATGCACATTTTTTTTCCTTTTAACAGGTTACTTTGTCTTCTTTATCAGAGTGTCCGCCAAAGAGTTTTCTCCTCGTGGTACTCTGTATATCGTCACATTTGTAATTCGTTCAATAAGCATCATTGTCTATTGGTAAGACTGACTGAGTCTTGGCTTGAAAATCATGTACGTGCCAGCTATCTGATTTCTTCTTAGTTGAGAATCTCCATAAATCTTGATATGGAATAAGCAACAGAATTCTTAATTTTATTTCTATCAACATACTTTAATGAAAACTCTAAATTTTTCTGTAAGCATACATCTTTTTGACATGAAAATAATCACGTGTCCTAGATTCCAATCTAATAAGTTATGTCCCTGTATTTATTTTATTTAGTGTTTTACCATATCCATTATCAATTGCTAGCAGTTGTGATTGATTAACGAACTTTGAACTTCTACATATTTATAATTGAGAGATCTAGAATGATGTACTCAGTTAAAAGTAATAACTACAACTTTTATTGGTGGTGGTTCTTCATGGTTTTCACTCTACTGAGAAAATTTTATTTGCAGAATATTTGAAAAGTTAACTTGGGGGAATTCCCTCATTTAACTACATTGTCTTTTGCAATTTATGAAAGGAAAATTTCATGATTTGAAGGCAGAATATTATTAGAAAAATGTCTGAGCGTAATGTTTTATTTTTTTCTTTTTTACGTCTTTATTCAAACCAGGAATTTTGTTTTTACAGGCATGACTCGAATGCATTAGTGTTTAGGTATCACCGACTTAAATGCCTTGCGAAGGTACTCCTTGTTTATGAAAAGAATCTGTTAAGGCTTATGATTGAAAATTTAAAAAGCTTTTTAATATCAGCTGCCAAATTTCTTTTATATGAAAAACCTCTTGCGTCCATCGTCGTTTTAACTGTTTTTCAGATATGGACATGTTCACAATTCCAGTGAACCGTATACTGTATATTCACTGTTCTACCATAATGCAAATGTTTATGGCAAGTCCAAATTAAAGACCACGTGGTGTTAATTTTTCTATTTTCACATGTTCAGGTGGTGGTTCAACTTGGAGACATACTTGATCGGGGTGAAGATGAAATAGCAATTTTATCCTTACTTCGCTCACTAGATATTCAGGCAAAATCTAGCGGTGGCGCGGTTTTTCAGGTTTAATTTATTTTTAGATACTAATATTTTTTTGAGTAAAAAATATTTTTTTTCCTTAAATCTGTTTCATTTTTTTGGCAGACAGCATTGTAGAACTTAGCCAAAACATTTATGACAAACAGACCTCAAATCTACATGCTTTTTCATAAAAATTAAGGCAAACACAATATTTTTTCAATAAATCAAACAACTCAACAAGAAATCAAACAACTCAACAAGAATGTAAAGATAAACACCTACAATTTGAGAGGTAGGTGATCTATCCCAATTCACACAATTTGAGAGGTAGGAAATCTCTCCCAAACTCTAAACCTAAGAATCACAACTCAATTTCCTGCATAACCCTAATCCTAGTCATAACAAATCTATTTATACTCAATAATAATAATAATACTCCTCCTCAAAAGAAAACCTTGTCCTCAAGGTGGGAAAAAATGAGAGTTTTCCTCCTCCCCACTATTGTCTCTATTTTTTCATTCTCTGTCTCCTCGTCATGCACTATGAGAACTGATAATTTTCGATCCTTGCAATAGCTTTCTGGGATAAACTTCTCATCACACCAAAAACATAATCTTTTATCTCACTTCTTCTGAATCTCTGTCTCTATAAGACGCGTAGTGTTGCTCCCGATCCTAGCCCATTATTCATGTCCCGTGCAGCCTCCCTCTAGATTTTCACTGTTTGAGCATTTGGTTTTATCGTGATGTAGTTGTGTGTTGCTCCCCCTGACCTTCTTCATTTGATTCTTATCCTCCACCATCTAAGCTAGCCCATCGTCTCTCTCAATGTTTAAGGTCTCAATAGTCAGAGTGATGCCTATATGTTGGGTTTTAGGTCTGTTATGAAAATTTCCTCCAATCCTGGTTTAGAAATTTTGCTCAGCCGTCCCGACAATAGCTCAAATCTCTCCCTATATTTCATGACAGCCCCTCCCGAGTCAAGACATAGAATTGCTTGTGTAGGTCCCCTTTTCTGAATTGCTTGGAAATGTTTCAAAAAACAATCCTTGAATTCCTCTCACGGATAGATTGGGTATCTAGCCTACCTCCACTGAAATCAGGCTACATCCACTGAAATCAGGCTAAAGCTTTCCATTTCAAACATAACCCTGCCGCCATGAGTTTCTTTGCCCAATCTAGCCCATTTACCGCGAAGTATCGCTTTGCCAGATACACCCATCCATGTGTCTCTTCCCCCTCCAAAATCAACATCTTCAACTTCCTAATTCTAACATCTCCACCCTATGTCGGCCAAAATTTTGGAAATCATTTATATTTAATTTAATATATATATATATATATATATATATATATGTGTGTGTGTGTGTGTGTGTGTGTGTGTGTGTGTGTGTGTGTGTGAGATTTTGATTTTGAAAATAATATTTCAATTTTTGAAATCAATAAGACCAATATGATCTCATATATTTGGCAGTCTAAGTAATCGAGCCTAACACCGCGAATAATAGATTATCCAGAGAGATAAATATACTAGTCGAGAGTGGGCTCAATTATATAAACTACACAACTTATGATATCCGTTTTATCTGTGAAACATTTTATGTATGACCGACAAGTTCTCCTACCTAATATAAAGATTAGATAGGGTTTATTTTACATGGGTTCTTAGTTCTCTATAGAGGCAAGCCTCTGCAGTTAATTACATCTTAAATGATCGGAATCACTTACGAAAACTCTTGATTAAGATTAATAGTTCTGTCTTCAAGAATTCAATGTTTAGGCTTTTACGGTTAAACATAAGAAAATTAAAAAGGAATGACTCAAAATATAAACAATTATTGTAGGAGTCAAAAATAGTGAAAGGTAGGAGATGTCACGGATCTGAGAAAAACCTCGACTTCTTAACTATCCTAATGTTTGGTTTTAAGACTTTGAAATGATATTATTTAATGTTTCAATTCTGCAATTTATTTTAAAATTTAGGGCTTATATTTGCATGATGTCGGATCGTGCCAATAGCCTAGGAAGATAGGAGGATTTACGTCGTATGAAACGACAATTTCGGAATCCTAAAAAGAATTTGGGCTTATATTGCACAACATAGTTGTGCAAAAACCTAAAAGACAAGATGAAGATTTATAACGCGCTAAGCAGACTACCTCGAAATCATATGAGTTATGTTATTTAATTCTAAGGTTTGGCTGATATAGACTTATTTTGCTGTTGTAGATCGTCATACTCCATCCGCTACATCTTCGTCGTGCTGCCCACGAAGTCTTGCTCCATGTTTCATGTACTAGCAGTTTCAAGTTTAGTGTTTTATAGTGATCCACCCTAGATAAACCGATTATTGTTCTCTATCCTGAAGGTCTTGCAATTAATTTAAAGCATGCATGAACAAGATATGTCATACGGAAGTCCAGTAAAAAATGGTAAAGTGCAGTAAGTATAAAATAAACCTGTGCACCTGACGTGTATGTTGCTAGTGCAAATGGGGTTAGTATCGCAGGTAAAAGTAAACGAGTGTAATAGAGAATTTAGCAGGTAGGGCAAACATGCATTTATATATAAAAGAATAAATGACAACGCATCCATGAAAAACTCGAAGAAAATTGAAAGTGACTCACGAAAACTGAAGGTGACTCATAAAAACTTGGATAAACCCGTAAGAATTCGGTTGGGATAGACTCAAATTAATTATTCCCGAAGGACTCTGAAGGCAATCAGTGGTCATTCACGTACATAAAGCCCGACATTCAACTAGAAATTTTCAACAAGACAATCTTAAGAGGGCAATTTTTAACCCAGTATATGTAACTGACAAGTGGATATTTAAATTTTATTATTCAAAGTTTACAGTTTGTCATGTATTTAAAAGTAAAATTTCATTTAACAGCCAAAAGTATTTGTTTCGTAAGAGATGTATTTTTATTTTTTTATCTTCATTTGTTTTGAAAATACCGTTCACAGGTCAATCACATTGTCGGGCTAGAATCACCAGCAACCTAAGAATGCAAGAGGTCCTCACTAGTCTAGTGTCGGTGAGTAATATTGTCATTCTACATTCTCACCAGGTCCTTGGGTAAGGTCCCGATGACGTAGGATGCAATATTATTCTGCTCTAATATCAGATACCTTTGTCATCACAATCCTTAAATCTCAAACCGTACATCAATTATTATCTTATGGGTCCGTTTGGGGCAGCTTGTGCGTTTCAGGATAAGCAGGCGGTCCGCGGGCCGGCCGCAGGGGTCGGCCCGCGGCCTGCGTTTAGTGTAAAAACCCAAACGCAGTTTCTGATAAGCTGGCGAAAAGCGCGAACCAAACGGTATGGCGGCATTTTGAAAACGCCGCCCGCACTTATAAGCTGCCCCAAACGGAGCCTTAGAGCTTTGCTTAATGGTTCATATATAGCTTAAGCTATATATGTGCACTTATGCTAAGATATAAACACATATCTAACTCATTAAACAAAGAAAAGAAAAGCGAACCAGAGGGGAAAGAGAAGAGGCTGATTCATCTCCAAAAGTTGGCAAGAACAAAAGGGGAGAACAATAAATGCATAGGCCTAAAATGGTGTTTATATCTTCTTAAAATAATCAATAAAACTGCCCAAAACATCTCATAGCAAACCTCCAAAATTAGCTTTTGAAAAGCCCAAAACAGTGTATAAAAAACCTCCAAAAATCAGCACTTAAAGTGCCCAAATCGGTTTATAAAAAACTTTCAAAAATCAACACTTAAAGTGTCTAAATCAATCTATAAAAGCCTCCAAAAATTAGCACTTAAAGTGTTCAAATCAGTGTATGAAAAACCTTCAAAAATCAGCACTTAAAGTGCCTAAATTAGTGTATAAAATACCTCCAAAAATTAGCACTTAAAGTGCCCAAATCAGTGTATAAAAAAAAGGCATCCATATTATTCAGTAATAGGAATATAATTTTAGGATCATTATTAGGTAATATTTCAACTTTGTTAAAAGAGGTACTCACTGAATACCTTTTATTAAAGCTTTAGATGAAACTGAATGAAGACAATGTCATTTTACTACCAACCCTCTGCAGATCAATTTAGGACAAACTGATCTAGTTAAAAGTCAAAAATGGCCAGCATACGCTTAGCAAGTTGATTTAATGCTCCACAGATTTTCAATACAATGCCTATAGAAGATTTTAAAGGATTGAGTCACATGACTGGATCAAATGCTGATAGGAGATCAGTCTAAAGCAAGCTCTTGGATTATCATCATTACTAGCCTTATCCCAACATTCCAAAATACAACATTTAAACCTCTTCCCAATGTTGCAAGGAAGCACCAAATAGTTTTTATGTAAGGGCAGCAGAGAGAAGGGAAGGAGAGGGGAAGCTCACCACAACGAGGAGGATTCAATTACTCACAGGTAAAGGGACAGCAAGGCAAGCCTCCCAAAAACCCACATAACGCATGCAAACAGCTCAGCTAACAACCTCAAAACCGCAGCCAAATAGACTTCCCAAATGATCCCAAAAAGTTGCAAAAACTGCAGCCAAATAGATTTCCCAAATGATCCTAAAAAGTTACAAAATCTGCAGCCAAATAGACCACTAGGAATACCAAAACCACATGCAAAACTAGCCTTCCAATAATAATAATAATTAAAAAAAACGTATGCAAAGAGGTCAGCCAACAACCGCAAAGGCTGCAGCCGAATAGACTACAGGTAATGGGTAAGAGGAAGAGCCAACCGCAAAGGAAAAATCCAAAACAAAGGCTTAACAATAATGGCTCGAAGAAAGCAAAGGGGAGGCCCAAAATCCTCTACGAATTATCATGATAGAAATATAAATAAGCAAAAAAACACATTTCTTTCCAAGTCAGTAAAAATTAGGAGCAAAGGAAGGCTCCAAATATTTCCTTTTCACACATACCAAAGCTCATCCAAAAAAAGTATTCTTAACACATGTTTCAGCAAATCAGCGAAGTGAAGAACGGGTAAGGAGCAAGAATGGCTCGAAGATATTATCTCAAGCATGCCATCGTAAAACTCTAGGTGCACTTCAGCG